GGCGCAAAACCCCAGCACTGAAACACCGCCCAGACCAAAACAAACTCCACGGCGCATGCGCATAACACGCTGGCTGAACCGCACACCCTCCCTGCGGGAAGGCGCCAGCCAGGACTACTGCACGAGAAAAGGAGCCAAAAGAGGAAGCAGGAACAATAAAACCGGCCAAAGAAGCAAAGAGCCCAAAAAGGAGCCCAACCGGGCGACAAGTGGCCCAACCGGGCGACAAGTGGCCCAACCGGGCGACAAGTGGCCCAACCGGGCGACAAGTGGCCCAACCGGGCGACAAGTGGCCCAACCGGGCGACAAGTGGCCCAACCGGGCGACAAGTGGCCCAACCGGGCGACAAGTGGCCCAACCGGGCGACAAGTGGCCCAACCGGGCGACAAGTAGCCCAACAGGGCGACAAGTAGGAGGAGCCGACAGACGTTCCAATAATGCGGGAAGTAGCGAAAAACCTTCCCGTACCCTCGAGAACACAGAAGAACTACAACGGGGCAGCCCCGGGGCTCCCGGGGAGGAAACCACGAGAACGTTGCCACCACCAAGGCTCAAGTGCAACGCCCCTGCTGCCCGCACCCGCTTTGTTAGCACAACTGGGTAACCGAGCCACAACGAGCAACCAAACTCGCAGGACTCCGGGTCGAAGGTGTCACCGACCCCACAGGCAGCAGACAGAGGCAAAACAGAGAGTCACCCAGAAACAAAAGGTGAGAGCAACCCTCAAACTCGCTGGAAGCGAGGGGGGGACTCTGGGGTCACATCCATCGGACCCGCGCGCCCCCAGGGGTTTCCCAGTGTCCCAAGCGTTTACTTTAAGAGGACTCGCGCTCAGGTAATCCCAGGCAGGGTACTGCTAACCAGCACCCAAAGCTACCAAACAACTTTCTAAGAGCTGAACCCCCGGGACGTGTACACTCACGGGGACCTAGCAGGGGTACCACCAGAAAATACTCAGAACACAAGGGACACAAGGGGCAAGAACGAAGGCAGACCCCCCACCAGGTAGATAAACAAAAAGAAAAAGAAAACCCCGCAAGAGGACAGCGTACCCAAGCGGAACAGAGCCGGCCGCTATGATTGGTAAAGACAAGCTGCACAGTACCCCGCGCCCCACCAGTGCAAACACTGCCCCTTACTCTAAGGCGAACAAGGGAGACAGAACACCCGAGCACACAAAGAGCGGCCGAAAACCAAGCAGTAAACGGCCAAGCAGGGGCAGGACCCAAGGAACTTGTGGAAGGTGGCCCCAAGCCCCAAGGGCAGTACTTACAGGGCACCTAGGGAAGGGATCCCTAGGCGCATGCAGCCCGAGTACTGAAGAATCACTCCCGGCTCACGCACCACCTAGAAAACAGACACCACACTCTAGGTACAGTGCTGAAACAACCACTGGAGCCGGAGCACATAACCATTGCCTATAGCATCAGCCGAAGAACTGATGGGTGGATAGCCGGCGTGGGAGGTCTGGGGCTCCCCCTTCCCCCTCCCGGGGAGGGGGGAGCTGCGCAGACAGCGGCGCGGTGACGTATGACGTCATACTAGTTTCCTTGTTTTCTGTTGAAGAGTTCTATCCACTAGTTCGGCTTAGGTAGCAATTTTCACCAGAATAGGGGTTTGTTTTGGAATGCTTACCTTTCTGGATGCTTGACCCGGTCGATGGCAGACATAGAATGCTTCCAACCACACGGGGGTTTCTATAGGCCATTGCTCCCCTTGCCTCTCTGAGGGGGCCAGGTTCTGGCTCGTGGTCCCCGGTAGGCCCTAGAACTCCATACACATGACTGATGCCAAAGTCTGACATTAGCATATCAGCCGGTAAAGCTCCGGGGAGCCGACGGGGCTCCCCCCAGAAAAAGGCTTTCGACAGAGTTCCACATAGGAGGTTGTTCTGGAAACAAATACTGGAGGAATGACAGATCAACTTCCAACATGGATAAAAAAAAATTTAACCGACAAAAAAATGAGGGTTGTAATCAGAGGCAATGTATCGAACTGGAGAAATGTCACGAGTGGAGTACCACAGGGTCATGTTCTTGCACCGGTAATGTTCATTGTCCACATAAACGATCTACCAGATGGCATACAGAATTATATGAACATGTTTGCTGATGATGCTAAGATAACTGGGAAGATAAGAAACTTAAATGATTGTCTTGCCCTTCAAGAAGACCTGGACAAAGTAAGTGTATGGAGCACCATTTGGCAAATGGAATTTAATGTGAATAAATGCCATTATGGAATGTGAAATAAGAAAACATAAGACCCCACACAACCTATAAATTATGTGAGAAATCTTTAAAGAATTCTGATAGAGATCTAGGGGTGGTTCTAAACAGAACACTATCACCTGAGGACCAAAAAGAACATCGTGCGAGGAGCCTATGCTACACTTTCTAACTTCAGAATTGCTTTTTAAATACATTGATGGCGAAATACTAAAGAAATTGTTCACGACTGTTGTTAGAACAAAGCTGCAATATGCAGCTGTTATATGGTGCCCATATCTTAAGAAGCACATCAACAAACTGGAAAAGGTACAAAGACATGCAACTAAATGGCTCCCAAAACTGAAGGAGAAGAGCTATGAGCAGAGGTTAGAGGCATTAAATATGCCAAAACTAGAAGATAGAAGACAAAGAGACGATATGATCACTACGTGCAAAATAGTACTGTAACAGGAATCGATAAGATTGATAGGGAAGAATTCTCCAAGACCTGGAACTTCATGAACAAGAGGTCATAGATTTAAACTAACTAAACAAAGCTGCCGAAGAAATGTAAGAAAATTCACTTTTCGCAAACAGAGTTGTAGACGGTTGGAACAAGTTAGGTGAAAAAGTGGTGGAAGCCAAAACTGTCAGTAATTTCAAAGTGTTATATGACAGAGTACTGAGAAGACGCGACACCAAGAGTGTAGCTCTCATCCCATAACCAAATTTGGGTAATAATACTTATGTAATTACACGAGACCAAGATGCATGGTATTTAGAGAAAAAAAGCTTATGAAAAACAAAGATCTAATAAGTATGCTAAGGAGACAATTCTATTAACATCAAGGGGCCCAAAACTGGTTCCACACACTCCCTCTGAATTTAAGAGGTATAACTAGCCGACCTCTCATGGTGATCCACCAGGCAGCAAGTCATACGTCAGACTGTTAGCAGCTGTGTCTAAAAGCCTGACTGACCAGACCACCAACCTAGAAGCCAGGTCAGAGACTGGGTTGTGGGGATATTAACACCAGGAACTACTACAAGGTAAGCATATTTATATATTTTTTCAATTGCAGAACACTATCAAATACATGTACAAATACCTCCAAGTCATTTGACAGCTTGTGAATCAGGTCATCATCACTGCTCGATTCCGATACATCTGAAAGTACAAAAATCATAAATTAGTACACTGTAATGCACTTATGTGTTTCGTGCTACCTCAAATGTTTCGACCTCTATATAACAGATTTCTCAAAATAAAGAACAAGTATATTATGTAAGTAATATACCTATATTTATTCATTTATTTATTTATATACTATATACAAGAAGGTACATTGGGTTTATGAGAGTACATAGCATTGATGTTTTTACATTCTTGCTAAGGGACTAATACACATAGCGTCTCAGGCAGGTCCTTAATATAACTGATAATTTTAAGTAGGTAAATAGTACTAAAATTTAAAGAATATTAACAGGTACATTGTAAGAAAATATGAATAATATTAATAAGTACATCATAGGAAAATTTGCATTCAACATAACTATGATTCAAGTTGATAACAGTGATTACAATGGTGAAGTTGCATGGCTTAGGTACATATATTGGGGGAGTGTATAGCACAAGATACAGTACGAGTTTGAAGCACAACTTGCTCCATATTCTTATTAGCTTATGTGAGACGAGTCTGTTAATTCTACTTAAACTCTCTCTAAGTGTCCCCCACATTCCTAGAAGTCCTACACTAATTCCTGGTCCACTAATTACAATTCCCAAGTGTACAACTAATTAGAACTTATTACCTCTTCCCAATCTGATAGATGATGGTCAGGTGTGATCGAGGCCTGTAATATAAGGTTTGACAGTACATTGGTCAGTTAGTCTAAACTCTTATAGTGGTACAGTACAGACACTTGTGAGATAACGCACATCTTCAACATTCACCAACAACATTATAACACTCTACAAGTCCAGTTCCTACCCCCACACGACGCTTCAGCCTCGCTACAGACGGTTAGATTCTGGCCGCATCGAGCTTCCACACTCTCGTCCTGCAATTGAGCTCAAATTCCACCTGCATTCAGAACGCCACACTCTACACACTCGCCTCACATCTGAGCTCTCTATCCTCGGCCTCACTCTCTCTCTCTCTCTCTCACATCTCTCTCTCTCACACTCTCTCTCGCTCACACTCTCTCTCTCTCGCACTCTCTCTCTATATATATATCTCTCTCATATATATATATATATGTCGTACCTAGTAGCCAGAACTCACTTTTTGGCCTACTATTCAAGGCCCGATTTGCCTAATAAGCCAAGTTTTCCTGAATTAATATATTTTCTCTAATTTTTTTCTTATGAAATGATAAATCAACCCATTTCATTATGTATGAGGTCAATTTTTTTTTATTGGAGTTAAAATTAACGTAGATATATGACCGAACCTAACCAACCCTACCTAACCTAACCTATCTTTATAGGTTAGGTTTGGTTAGGTAGCCGAAAAAGTTAGGTTAGGTTAGGTTAGGTAGGTAGTCGAAAAACAATTAATTCATGAAAACTTGGCTTATTAGGCAAATCGGGAATTGCATAGTAGGCTGAGAAGTGCGTTCTGGCTACTAGGTACGACATATATATATATATATATATATATATATATATATATATATATATATATATATATATATATATATATATATATATATATATATATATATATATATGAGCATATTTATATATTTTTTCAATTGCAGAACACTATCAAATACATGTACAAATACCTCCAAGTCATTTGACAGCTTGTGAATCAGGTCATCATCACTGCTCGATTCCGATACATCTGAAAGTACAAAAATCATAAATTAGTACACTGTAATGCACTTATGTGTTTCGTGCTACCTCAAATGTTTCGACCTCTATATAACAGATTTCTCAAAATAAAGAACAAGTATATTATGTAAGTAATATACCTATATTTATTCATTTATTTATTTATATACTATATACAAGAAGGTACATTGGGTTTATGAGAGTACATAGCATTGATGATTTTACATTCTTGCTAAGGGACTAATACACATAGCGTCTCAGGCAGGTCCTTAATATAACTGATAATTTTAAGTAGGTAAATAGTACTAAAATTTAAAGAATATTAACAGGTACATTGTAAGAAAATATGAATAATATTAATAAGTACATCATAGGAAAATTTGCATTCAACATAACTATGATTCAAGTTGATAACAGTGATTACAATGGTGAAGTTGCATGGCTTAGGTACATATATTGGGGGAGTGTATAGCACAAGATACAGTACGAGTTTGAAGCACAACTTGCTCCATATTCTTATTAGCTTATGTGAGACGAGTCTGTTAATTCTACTTAAACTCTCTCTAAGTGTCCCCCACATTCCTAGAAGTCCTACACTAATTCCTGGTCCACTAATTACAATCCCAAGTGTACAACTAATTAGAACTTATTACCTCTTCCCAATCTGATAGATGATGGTCAGGTGTGATCGAGGCCTGTAATATAAGGTTTGACAGTACATTGGTCAGTTAGTCTAAACTCTTATAGTGGTACAGTACAGACACTTGTGAGATAACGCACATCTTCAACATTCACCAACAACATTATAACACTCTACAAGTCCAGTTCCTACCCCCACACGACGCTTCAGCCTCGCTACAGACGGTTAGATTCTGGCCGCATCGAGCTTCCACACTCTCGTCCTGCAATTGAGCTCAAATTCCACCTGCATTCAGAACGCCACACTCTACACACTCGCCTCACATCTGAGCTCTCTATCCTCGGCCTCACTCTCTCTCTCTCTCTATCTCTCTCTCTCTATCTATCTATCCATCTCTCCATCTCCCTATCCATCTCTCCATCTCCCTATCCATCTCTCCATCTCTCCATCCATCTCTCCATCCATCTCTCCATCTCTCCATCCATCTCTCCATCCATCTCTCTATCCATCTCTCCATATCTCTATCCATCTCTCCCTCCCCTCTCTCTATCCATCTCTCCCTCCCTCTCTCTATCCATCTCTCCCTCCCCTCTCTCTATCCATCTCTCCCTCCCCTCTCTCTATCCATCTCTCCCTCCCCTCTCTCTATCCATCTCTCCCTCCCCTCTCTCTATCCATCTCTCCCTCCCCTCTCTCTATCCATCTCTCCCTCCCCTCTCTCTATCCATCTCTCCCTCCCCTCTCTCTATCCATCTCTCCCTCCCCTCTCTCTATCCATCTCTCCCTCCCCTCTCTCTATCCATCTCTCCCTCCCCTCTCTATCTCTCTCCCTCCCCTCTCTCTATCCATCTCTCCCTCCCCTCTCTCTATCCATCTCTCCCTCCCTCTCTCTATCCATCTCTCCTCCCCTCTCTATCTCCTCTCCATCTCTCCCTCCATCTCTCCCTCCATCTCTCCTCCCTCTCTCTCTCTCTCTCTCTCTCTATCTCTCCTCTCGCTCTCTATCTCTCTCTCTCTCTCTCTCTCTCTCTCTCTCTATCTCTCTCTCTCCTCTCTATCTCTCTCTCTCTCTATATATATATATCTCTCACACACCTCTCTCTCTCTCTCTCTCTCTCTCTCTCTCTCTCTCTCTCTCTCTCTATATATATATATATATATATATATATATATATATATATATATATATATATATATATATATATCTCCCCTATATATCTCTATGAGTGATATATAATAATTATAATAATAATTTTATCTAGGGTAAAACTTATAAAATACAGAGTAACATGTTAATTGCATGCACACAATGATCAAATCATACGGTCAGGCTGCATACACTTTACAAAGTAATAACCCACTCGGAGATAGTTTCATTCAACTATAGTACAGCCTGTACTGTAATTGCATTTTATAATTTTTACTAATTTCAGTGAAAAGAAAAACATACCAAATAGCAAAAAATTTAAACAAAATTGCAAAAAGAAAAAATATGGCTAGTATTAATACTAGCTAGACATTCAAACCACAACTCTAAATAATTCATAATTTAGGTTCACCATTCAGATTTTGACCAATTCTTCATAGATTGAAAACGAGTTTGTTGATACGCGTACAGGCTGACCTAGCGCGTGGTGGCACGGCGATCGCCGCTCAGTTTGCGAGTGCCTTGCGCACAGTGACTATCCCGCTTGAATTCTTCACAAGGATTTACCGTTTATTTTTGGAGTTTTTGCCATTTGAGCATAAAATTTGTTATAATATACATAGCAATGGGTCCCAAGAAAGCTATGGTAAGGTTCAAGGCAAGAAATCGCATGTGAGGATGACAATAGAGGAACAGCAAGAGATCATTCGGAAGCATGAAAATGGTGCACGTGTTGTTGAACTTTGTAGGCTGAACAACAAATCCACGTCAATGATATGCACTATACTTGCCAAGAAAAAGGACATTATGAGTGGCAAAAGGAGTATCAACAATCACGAAACAAAGACCACAAATACTTGAGGAAGTGGAAAAGTTGTTATTAATTTGGATACACAACAAAGAGTTAGCGGGTGATAGTGTTTCAGAGGCCATCATTTGTGAAAAAGCCAGGGTATTGCACGAAGACCTTGTAAAGAAAACCCCTGCAACGAGTGCAGAGAAAGACTTTAAGGCAAGCAGGGGATGGTTTGAGAAATTTAGAAAAAGAAGCGGTATTCAAAGTGTTGTGAGGCATGGGGAGGCTGCCAGCTCAGACAAACCAGCCGCTGAGAAATTTATTGAAGAATTTAAAGATTTGCAGAGGCTGAGGGATACCTACTGCAACAGGTGTTTAATTGTGATGAAACAGGACTCTTTTGGAAAAGATTGCCTAAGAGGACATACATTACCAAGGAGAAAAAAGCATTGCCCAGACACAAGCCTATGAAAGATAGGGTTACGCTTGTGCTGTGTTCAAATGTGAGTGGCGATTTGAAAATTTAACCCTTGCTAGTGTATCATTCTGAAAATCCAAAGGTTTTCAAACAGTATAAAGTGCAGAAAAATCAAATATGTGTGATGTGGAGGGCTAATAATAAGGCATGAGTGACTAGGATTTTTTTTTTTTTTGGAGTGGGTGAATGAAGTGGTGTGCCCTGCCATAGAAAAAATATCTGCAGAAGAAACATTTGCCACTCATGGCCCTGCTTCTCCTCGACAATGCTCCTGCTCCTCCTCCAGGCTTGGAAAATGAATTGTTGCACAGATACAATAAATTTCTCACAGTAAAGTTCCTTCCTCCTAACACCACTCCTCTAATTCAGCTTATGGACCAGAAAATCATAGCGAATTTTAAGAAACCTTATGAAAGGGCACTTTTCCGGAAATGTTTTGAAGTGACTGAAGCCACAAACCTCATCCTCAAAGAGTTCTGGGAACACCATTTTAACATTTGTAGTTCTTTAAAACTCGTTGACAAAGATTGGCAAGAAATGACCCTGATCTCTGACTGGAAAAAATTGTGGCCTGAATGTGTAACAGAACTGGACTTTGAGGGGTTTGAGCCTGTAAATGATGCGCCTATTGTTGAAGAAATTGTTACTCTGGGCCGGCAAATGGGCTTGGAATTGGATGATGGTGATGTGGAGGAGTTGGTGGAAGAAGACAACGAAGAACTGACCACCGAAGAACTCCAAGCCCTTCAAAAGGAACAGCAAGAAGACCCAGCTGAGGAAGTTTCTCCAGTGGAGGAGGATGAGGCAGAAGCAAATGTCCCTTCTGCAGACATTAAGAAGTGGTGTCAGATATGGGAAGAAATGCAAACTTTTATTGAAAAGACTCGCCCAGAGAAAGCTGTAGTAGGCCGTTGCACTAATCTTTTCAATGACAATGTTATGCCTCACTACAGAGACATCTTGCAAAGAAGGGAAAAACAATCTTCCACGGACAGATTTGTTGTGAGAACATCGAGCAGTGAGCCACAACCAGGACCTAGTGGTATGCAGGCAAAATGTGCCAGAGAATGTACCCCTGAGAGGTCTTCACTGCCTGATGTTATAACGGAAGGGGACTCCCCTTCCAAACAGTAACACCTCTCCTTCTCCCCTCACCATCTTTCATACGTGTACAGCAGTGATCAGCAATGGTAAGTAATAACTTGAACATAGTTTTGTAGTATAGATTTAGATGAATTAGGTATAAAATTTAGTTTGAAGTGAGGTTTTTGGGTAGTCTGGAACGGATTAATTCATTTCCCATTATTTCTTATGGGGAAATTAACTTCGGGTTACGAGCTGTCTTCAAGAATGGATTAAACTCTTAAACCGAGGTACCCTTGTACTGTACATATATATTTTGACATTTTTAGGCGATGCTGTGGTCACAAGCTGAACAGCAGTGCTGTGCGCTCATGCTGTCTACACCAGCCTTAGTGGCTCACTCAGAACTGAGGCTCTCACACCCAGATATGTTACCCACGATTTTTTTCTAGGTGGCATCTGTGTACTATCGGATGTGGCTGGACTATATAGCCCCTATCCCTCACGAGGCATTTAAAATTGTATGCTAGACCTTGAATCATATATGTATGTATTGCGCAGTTTTGGGAAAGTTAAAAAAAAAAACCAGCGTTGAATGTAATGAAACGCCATTTTCTGGGTGAGTCCCGGAGGCTCCCCGGAGCTATCCCAGGCTGATATGCTAATGTCAGACTTTGGCATCAGTCATGTGTATGGAGTTCTTAGGCCTACCGGGGACCACGGCCAGAACCGGGCCCCCTCAGAGAGGCAAGGGGAGCAATGGCCTATAGAAGCCCCCGTGTAGTTGGAAGCATTCTATGTCTGCCATCGACCGGAACAGGCACCCAGAAAGGTAAGCGCCCCAAAACAAACCCCTATTCTGGTTA